AAAAGGAAAAAATAAAGAAAAAATGTTACTTAAGTATGTTTTATTGGCTAATTCGACATTTTAATGTTCAATGAATGATTCTACATTGATAACCCTGGAATCTAATATTGATTTTAGCATGATAAATAAAAATATGATAGTAAAGATATTGAAATTAAAAATGTTATAAGAAGTATTATAGTAATACTAGAACCTATAAAAAAATCAGGATTTTTAAAATCGATACTAAAAAAAAAGGATAACCACAATATACTTCAAAAATAACACCTTAAAAATTAAATTGATGCAAATAAATTAAGTTATTAATGGTTATTATTTTAGTAATTTTTTTTTTTTCCGAAAAGGGCGCGTTTTCAACGATTTGCGCCATTCGACCTCAATACGACACAAATTTTAATTTTTTAAACTATGTAACGTATCAGATATTAAAAATATAATTTTGATACTTTATGTCTTCTAAATGTTCTTAAGTCTAATATTTTTTGTTTTTTTTACATGTCTAATCGTATATTATGTTTAAAAAGGTTTTAAAGTAAAATGTACCTAATACATTTTTAAAGATCCCATTTATATACCAGGGTAGGTGATTTATAAATACAAAATGAAAAAAAAATTAAATGAACGGCCGAATTAATGCATTAATTTTTTCATAAAACAAGTTCTTTTTTTCCGCATTTCACGTGAACATGAACAAGTTCAATTTTTAACTGAACATTTCGAACACTGGTTTTACTATATGATAATTTTATTGTGGGTGTTGGGTAATTTTTAATCACGATAATACAGAGAATGAAATTGTTAGTGTGGCACTAATGTACAAAAATTTAATGAAATCATAGCGTGTTATTTAAAACTTTACTTGTAAAATAATTGCTATAAAACTATAGACCGTACGTTGTACCTTTCCAAATAAACTTTACATTGCGTTATAAGTAAATAACTGAATAGTTTCAACATCACCAGTGGCATATTTTCAAAAATCTTTGTGGGGTGGAAGGTAAAAATATTTCTATATTATAATATATTATATATAGGCTTGTCATTCGCCCCTGTTTGACGAACGGTTAGGAACGGTCCTGGTTTTAAAGGCATGTTCCGGTGTCCCGACCGATAATTCAGTTTGTCCGGGACAATATAAGCTGAAAGAAATTAACATTTAATTTTGTATTATTTAATAATAAAACATAGAACAATATTGTACATTACATTATGGTTATCTAATCGGCATTGTTGTATACAATAAATTATGTATTTTTGTAATAGCTAATAAATATTTAAATTACAAATTATATATTTAATTTTGTTTCTATATGAATATGACATAAAAAAAAAAAAGTAGGATCATTCAATATGATGTCCTGGTTTAGGGATTTCAAAATTTAGAATCCCTAATTATTAAATATTATTATTGTATTATGTATATATTATAAATAAAAACCGGATATAATTTCATTAAAAATATCTTAAAATTGCACTAAAAAGATGTTAAAATTGCAATAAAAATTTATCAAAATTATGTAGTAAAATCATATAAAATGTATTCATTAATTATTTACTTAAATAATTTTATGGACATTAATATAATATTTACGAAATATATTATTTTTTTAATTAAAATTTATAATTATATACATCTCTAAATTATGTTCTTAAAAATTGTATCGTTTGTTAGGTACTTAATATATGTTTATAGAATTAAAAATTACATTCAACGTCTACACTTGCCATCAATGCATATTTAAAATAATTTAAAAAAATTGGTGATATATCTAAATTAATATTTTGATTTCCTGTCATAACCACAGAGTAAGTTTTAATAGTTTTATATCCTTTTTTTTCTCTAAGACTTATTATAATTTATCTTTAACTATTTTCCTATTGGGACCGGGAATATTTATCAAAATATTTTTAATTTCACTAAATATGTTTAAGCTATTATGTAATTAATTACCTATTTGATTCTTCTAAACTTGTGAGTTTTGTGGATAACTCAGATAAATATAATTTTAAAAATGCTAAAATACATTTAAATACATTTAAAAATTTACGTCGTAATTATACTATTATTATTATTTTAAAATTACTTTAGAAATAATAATTTGTATATTTCATCACTTGAAGTATACAAATATTACAAAAAATTGCATAATTAAATTAAATAAGAAGACTTTAATTAATCCGTTTCGTATAAATATTTAATTTACCTGGTATCAATAATAAGTTGCAATATCAATTAAATCCGGTCTTTAATTATAAATATTACAAATAATACATATAATGTATGGGTTAATAATTATGTTATGTATTATTTTCTTTGTATATTTATTATTATTGTATTAATTTGTTATGTATTCTATTTTTATTATTATTATTATTATTATTATCACTATACAAATTAACAAATACATAAATAAATAAATATTTAAATTAATATTCTCTTTCTCTGTATCTTCGTAACAAGTCATTTATGGCTTTTGAATACTTTTTTTATTCTATGAAAGGGGGTGGGGGTTAAAACCCGAAAACCCCTTCCCTGTCAATTCTGAGTCAGCGGAATTTGGATTTTATACATCTACTATATATATTTATATTTATAATATAATGGGAGTATTGATGTACGCGCGATGCATGAGATTATTTTAACGATAAACTTTTTATATTTATATACACAATATAGTACACCTATAGAACTCCAGAAGTCGTTTGGATATTAATACAAATTTAATATTATTATAATGAATATGGTCATATTTGTTACATTTTATTAAAAATTATATGTCTCATTTTTTTAGTTTAAATAACATAAACGAGTTGCAACAAAATTTAAAATATGTAATTGATATTTTAAAGAAATGTTCTGTCAGGCTTATGAGAATTTATCTTTCTTGCTTATGCAAACTTATCGATAAAATATTCGAATTTAATCTCTCGATCTGTTTCTTGATTGATTGAAAGTAATGTCAGACCGCCACTTAACGATCTTATATACCAGAAGCGGCCAAACTTTTTTCGGCCACGATCTACTAAAAATTTACTTCACCTTTGAAGATCGACTTTCTTGGAAAATTTTTTTAAAGAACCAGAATAAAAGATAAAAACTATACAGATAAAACTTATCGACAATTTTTTCATAACCACCACGATTAATTTTCGTTTACGCGTAGCCTAAAAATCAATTCTAACGTGATCGACTCTGAAATCGTTTGGGATCGACCGTTTGGCCGCCCCTGTTATAACCCAATCGATAATGAATTGAGTAATCGACAATCGTCTATACGGTTTCCCAGACTAGAAGTTATACTGCTCTAAATATAGAGTGCATTTCCTTGTTACTGCCGTTCCAAAATATATATTATATTTATATATACTAATATAGCAGACGTCGACGAGCAAACGCTACACATAAAATAATTTACAAGCATGTGTCAGTTATTTTTTTAAATGGTAAATTATTTTTATGAGAACATAGGTTTTTCTAAAGATCATGGTACTTGTAAATTGTGTGCCTAATAATAGTAATCTGTATTTTGAATCTCAACATTCTTCGATTGGCCCGTGACTTATTACCCGTCCGTCATGCCACCTTATCGGTACAACACTGATTAATATTCGTCATTCATCTACTTATCGGACATTTGGATAAGTTTATATAATATATAAAATTGTTGCATGTACCAACGAACATAGAAAACACGTAATGTAATTAGTATTTGATGTACGAAATATTCTACAAAAACGCGAAACATTGAAATTTTTTCTAATAAAAATATTAATGATGGTTATTTATCAATATAAATTATAATTTAATAAAATAGTACAATTAATTAAAAAACCGACGGATTAAATTATAATTTAATAGAATAGTACAATTAATTAAAAAACCGACGGATTGCATCAATAATATTCATAATTAGCTTTTAAAAAATTCCTCATAGTACACGGATAAACATGAGCAAGAGATTAGATATATTACGAGCAAAGTATGAAAAATATTGCGAATTTTAACTACCAAGTAGAATGTAAATAAAAAATAAATATTTGTATGTACGTGCAACGAGTTAATTCTAACATAATATGGTAAAAAATGGTTAATATTTAAAGATAACAAATTTAACGTGTAGACAATCGAAATGCTTTGTGATGGTTTACATTCGACGGTGGCACCGGGTGTTTTGGGTAAACGACTTCAAGGGCAAGTGCATTTTTCTAAACGCATACAAATTCTTCGTCACGCAGTAGAAATTTTTATTCCGTAGAATATGGTTGAACGTGAGAATGCTATTGGGACCGAGAACAAAATGCGACTTGGATTCGCGCGTAAACGTCTTATTTGGTTATTATTATTAGTCTTATTGAGCCCAGACGAAAATTATACAAATACATTTTCTAATCTAAGGAAAGAGAAAAAAAAAAAAGGAAAAATTTACGATACGAAAACGGTGCACCGGTTACGTACGGACCGGCACACTCGGAGCACAGCACGTACGTGACCCCCTCCCCCGGGACAGCATCGCGTACCAAACCCTACGGTTTTTCCCGAAACGTACACGATCGGACGTCTTGGGACGGAAAAACGAACGAGACACGCGCGTCCACACGGTTTTCGTGAGGCCCGCAGCGGTGGACGGCGTGCGGGTCGGCCATTGAACGGTGCCTGCACGGCCGAGGCGACGCGCGACGGGCCCGTCGTCGTCCGTCCAGAACGGAGCCATATTTTTCGTACGACGAACGCGCGGCGACGGGCAGACGGACGCCACCTGGCGGACGACACACGTCGAGCGGGGCGCGTCGGCGAAACGCACCGGAACGTTCCGCGGTGCCGGCAACGATAGCCCGGGCGAACGGTCGCGTCGGCCGGTAGCCGCCGTTCGCCACCGCGTCGACTAATCAAAACTCTCGAACGATTGATTCCGCGCGCGCGGGCGCGTACTGCGCGTGCGCGCGGCTCCGTCCGTACACACGACACACACACACACACACACACACACACACACACACATATATACGGCACCAGAGTGTTGTTTACGTACGACCACATACGTACGTTACGTGACGCACGCAAGTTTGTGTATACGTTTGCACAGGTCGTAAATACCGTATGTATATATAATAACACCGTAATCGTGTAACAGTCGTTGTTAACGTTTGCGCGGCTCCGTGTTGCGTGTGTGCGTGTGTGCGTGCGCGCGAGTGTGTGCGTGTACGGATTATTTTTTTTCACTCCGCTGTCACTGCACTAACTGTTACTACTACAACTAATAATAATAATAATAGTAATAGTAATAATAATAATAATAATAATAATACTACTACTGTTGTTATTATTACTATTCATTATCCGTCGTCGTCGTCGCCGTTATTGCTGTTTTGATGATAATAGTAATAGTAATATGAACGGCGCCTGCAATTGGTCGCGACCGCAATTTTCCAGTACCGGTCCCACGTCCGTCTGCCGTAATTACGTCAACAACAACGCGACCAGCAGCCGCGACCAACGACGACGACGCGAACCACCGCCGCCGCAGCAACACCACCAGCAGCAGCAGTGACAGTGTGCCGACGTCGACTTTGACGTTAACGTTGGACACGGGCAACGGGACAATCGGGAACGTCGAAGAGAAAGAAAACGCGTTGGAAACGACCGCCGCGGCCCGTGCCGGACACAGCCGTTGCCGTCATCATCACCACCGCCGCCGCCGCCGCCGCCGCCGCTGCGTCACGAAAAGTCGAACGTGTCCGTCCGTCTACGAAACCGGTCCGACTCGTACGGTACAGTTTCCCGGTGATTTTTCGCGTGTGATGAAGGGAACGTTCACGGCAGTCAGTCGCCAGCAACGAAAACCGTCCTCATCGCAACAACGAAAACGAGAACAACAACAACAAAAGCAACCGCAACAATTGCAAGTGCTGTTGTTGTCCGATAGCAGCAACGTCCGTCAGATGTTATTGTACTTGGAGAGGTGAAGCGCGAGCCGTCGTCAACCGTTCCACTTCGTTTAATGTACAGACCGACGCACAGCAATAACCTGTGAGTATAGCGTAGTCGCGTAGAACGGTCCGCGGGATTATCAAATCCCGAGTCCATTATCTGTCTATCAATAGTTTTTGTTTCCCGCGGCTTTCGGGTACTCCACTATCTATCGCCCCCTCAGCGTTCTCGCGCCGTTTTCTCGGTCTCCGCGTCCTCGTCGCTTTTCTCGCGTTCACCTCGTACCCGACGGTCCGTTCGATTTGGACGCGCGCATCCAACGCGTCCAACGTTCGCCACCGATAACCGTCCGACTCGTTCATCAGTTTTCATTGTGTGCTAACAACGTGCATATCATGGCACCGTGGTTTTGGAATATTTCCATCGCGTCCCTCATCTTTCCGCAAGAGTATTGCAACTTTTCCGCTCTGTAAGTCCGTCAATCCTTTGTGTTCCAGAATTTTGCTTTTCATCGTCACCATCTGTTCGATTTGTTCATCTCCGACCAACGATATCTATATTTTGACCGTGTTACCAGCTGGTCGGCGCACTACTCCCGTATTGTTTTAAGCATTCTGTCGGCTCAAACTCCAAGTACGTAGGTGTTTTTTCACTGTGTTGCGTGTCTTGAAAAAATTAATTTTTTAGCACATTATAAATGTGAAATAATATGTTTATGTTCTAATCAGTTTTAACCAAAAGCTTTTTTCGGTCTTAATCAGTTTCATTGTTATTTGAAAAAATACTTTTCATAACTTCAGTGCTTACAGTTTCATTGTACATTCATGAATTTTTATTTTTCAAAATTACTATTATCAACATTATCATTTATTATTACCTCAATTATTACTATATTTGATAAGAAGACTGTCATTAGACTGTCAACAGGATCTATTATTTTTTATTTAATAATATTAAATTTGTTTTTTGATTCCAAATGGTCTTTATTTTGATCATGTTATTCAATAAACTTGTTGAAATTCATATTTTTTCCAATGTGTATTGATAGTTATTTTTTAATATTTGCAATTTGAGTTCTGTCAATTTATTGTATAGCAATTGTACCTATATTATAAAATTTATATTAATCAATAAATTATTATTATTATACAATACACTAAAATACTAAAGTGGAAATCTTTGTTGTAAATTTAGAATTTCTTTGTAAAAATATATTTGATTTGAAGTAGGTGTATATACCTATTTCTTCAAAAATATGAATTTTTTTTAAAGTTAATGTTGTACCTATTTCTTAATTATAATTAATTATAATACAAATAAAATATAATTTTGAAAAATAAAATGAATAGGTACCATAATTTTTTAATCATCCTTTTATAATTATACATAGAACAACATAAGTATGATTTATTATATGTGGTGTTTAAGTATTGTATTATTAATATGGCTCGGATTTGAATAAAAGATGCTTTTTGTTCACAAAACAAAATTATTTTATCAATAAATTTTAAAATAAAATTTTCATTTTTATTTTTAACGTTCTTATTACATTATTATTATCAGCCATTTATAAATTAATATTTTAGTCTTTCTTAAATTATCAAATCCTAAGTTTTAGTTATAAAAGTAATTGTTTTAATTGATTTTTTTTAAATTACGCAAACTATATATTCGTTTAAATTAATTATTTAAATTAAAATAATATAAGTGTTATATATTATTTATATATTTAGTAAAATATGTTATCAAAAGAAAACTGATATTACTAATGTTATTATTTGCTTATTAGTTTTTAGGTTCTTATTATAGTCAAGTAGTGATAACTTGAATATGAAAAAGTAATAAAAACAGTTACTTAGATTAATTAGTGTTTGAAATATGTATATAGATTCTTGAGTTTAGAATATAAAATTAGTGCAGTTTAACCATATTTCATAAACAAAGTTCTAAATTTAATTTTAATCAGTATCTAATAATATATTATTTTTGAAGTATACCTAATTAATTTTAAGTTAATATTTTTACTAAGCATACATTTTTTTCTTTGGGTATATTTTATTGGAATTTTTTCTGTAGGTATATGTTTTATTGACTTCTGGAAAGGTGTGTGACTACAGTTCAAAAGTGAAAATAAAGGTATATTTTTTTAATAAAAATTAATTTTACTATAGGTATACGAGATTAAATTGTTTTAATTATTATTGATTTCAAATAGTATTGGTAATTTAAATAATAAATAAATTAAATTACAAAAATATTTAAGTATTATGCATCTAAATTAATTAATTAGTTCATAATTTTCAAACAAAAAAGTTAAACAGTATAATAAATAAAAAATTTTAAATAATGCTTATTGCTTATCAATTTTATTATCTTATAGTGTATTATTCTAAACATTTCTTGAAGTAGAGTAGATTGACCATTTATAATATACTCATATATATATAATACATTTATTATAGTTATAGGTAAAAAATAACATTTATGATGACATTAATTACTTTTTATTTTACTCATTTGATTTTTGTCAATTTATTTAAAAAAAGAATGTTCTAAGAACATGTAAGCCTTATATTGTAGTTGATCTTATTATTATTCGCAAAAAAATTAATCTTTTTATTAAATATCAAAATATTCTTATACATTTAAAAAAAAAAATAATTCAAACATGTCAGTTTATAAACATTTGGAATATATATGTTTAATGTTTATTAAGTACATTTAATAATTTATTTGTTTCATATATATTGACATATATTTTTAAATCTGACTCTTTCAATTATTTTAAATTGTTAATTAAATAGCACTAATTATTTCTACTTATTTTTTTGCACTAAAAATATTTTTTTACTAACTACTAATGTAACCTATATTTAAAATTCTTTTATTTCAATATTTTGTTGTTTCTATTTAGAGACAATTGGTGTGTACAGGTAAATTTTGAGAAATGTTCCATCTTAGTGTAAAACTATTAATTATTTAATTTTAATAAATTTTAAAGTCTCAGTTTAATTTAGTTTATATATATATATATATACATACATTTATAAGCATATTTAAATAATATGAAATTGCCTTTAATTATATAATAATGTTTTATCTGTATTATATATTTTTTATTTATTTACTCAATTTGTAATTTATTTTTAAAGCTGCCTAATGCCTAATAAATCATTGTATTAAATAGTTAAAAAAAAAAAAATTGAGGTTTATAAATTTTTTGTAGGCAATATGACTTGAAAGTTGGTTACAACGATGGCCATCAAAGGATCATAGCAATGAACGGGGAAATTCCAAGTGTACCTATAACAACTCTGGCTGGCATTTCAAGTCTAACAGATTGTAAGTACTTAAATGTTTGAATTAAATAAATATTTATATTTTATCTATAGTATTATTTTATATGTTATAAATAATTAATTATAACATTTAAAAAGGAAAATATTTCCTAATATATTATTATAATATTTGAATTGTTCTACAGTGTTACCTGAAATGCCATTGCCTTCACCTATGCCTCAAACATTAGGTAATAAATCCTTGTTGTTTCATCCTCGTGTGGCTGAAGAAGCAGATATATTACTCAGCCTTCGTGATGATGCATTAGTACCACAATTAATTCAATCATTAATAAATACTTCATCTGATCATATGTAAGCTTATTATATTCAATTCATATGAACTATGAATACGCTTATTTTTTTAAATGCAATCAACTTATTTTCAGACAATTGAAAGAAAAATACATGTATACAGAACATTACAACAATCAACAAAATATGCCAGAACTTCTTAAAGCTATATTACAACAGAATTCTAATGTATTTAGAGGACCTCCACCAACATTTCAACAACAAGGTAAAATATCAATTAGCCATAATTTTTATAAAATATTGTATCTGTTTTCTATTTATATATATTTTTTCAAAATATCTAAATTTTAAACAAATAAATAAATTATTAAAGTGTATTTTTTTCAAAATATTTATCTATATTTTGTTTGAAAGTATAAATGTGAAAATGAATGTAGTTGATTAAAATCTGTAAATCTATTTACATTACAAGTACTGTAAGGTTTAGCATGAATTAACTTGTAAAACACTTTTTATAAGTATTTTATAGATGTCACCATTTTAAAAGCTTTGTATATAAATTGTTAACATAACATAACGATTAAAATTACTTGTAAACTGTGAATGAATACATTTTAAGTGTTCAATATAAACTTGCTAATGATTTTTAAGTAATATGAAATTATATGTTACATGTTAAATTAATATAATTAATAACTGTCATTTAATTATGTTAATTAACATGATATTAAGGAAACCCTTCATTTTTAAATTAATGTTCGCATCTTATCATCAAAACACATTAAATTCATGATTATATATATGACCTATATACTAAACCCTATAAACATTTTGTATTTTGAAAGAATACTTTAGTCTATATTTTCATATTAGACCATTTTGATTAGTGTCATACTTAGGATTTACTTTATTTTCTTTTTACTTAGATCTTCTACCTCATTATTGATTTATAGGTTTAAAAATTTTATAGTTTATCTGAAAATTTGAAAAATTAATTTTTATGTTTTTGAACTTCTTTGTGTAATTAATTGTTTTTTTTACATTTTTTGTATTTAATATTAAAAAGTTAATATCATTAGGATTAAAAAATATTAATTTATATTATTATATTAGTAAAATATTAAATTTTGGTTGACTATTTATAAATCCACATTGTAGTTATAAATATTATTTAGTTATTCTTGCACTATTTCATTAGTTATTACATATTTTGTAACTAAATAAACATTACACAATGTATCACATTTTAAGTTAGTAGATCCTCCTATAGCTTATTTTATTTTGTTATATTTTCATAACTAGGACTCATTAGTTCATGTACTAAAAAACGCATAAATAAGCATGCAATAATGCACTAACATTTGAAAAATATGCACTAAAAAATTTAAATATGCATTTATATGCAATTTATCGAAGACGGACGTTTAGGCCTTGACCGGTTTGTCGCTAATCTCTTTGGCATCTCAGATTTAAAATGTTGTGCATTTAAAAAATATAAATGGAATAGCCTCTATGTATAAAATATAAATAATGAATTATAAATATTAAAAAAATTAATTTATTTTATATAAATAAAACTTATTAAATAATATAAAATTTTATTTAACATATTAAAAAATCATAAAAGGAAAAAAAGATATACGAAAGATAAAAATTAGATAACTATACTATAACTAAAAATATAAAATAATAATCTTCAACAATATTATTTTTATTAATGATACTATTTTTAATGGCTTTTCACAATTCAATTTGTTACACCATTTAGTATATTAACGTGTCCCATATATATTTATCAAATGCACAATTTTTTTAAATTGTGGCGTCAAAAAGGTCAGTGCTATTACAGCAGTGGTGCCAAAAGGTCCAAAACCGGCAATTTATACGGGTAAATTATCTTAACTATGAACGAAAAAAAATTTATTAGCATTTCTTAAAATAATAAAAATTATCTATTCATATTTTTAAAATTAATAATTTATTATATGACATTTTATTAAAATTATAATTTATGTACACACGTTGCGACGAAAGTTAACTGATAGATTGAAATGCACATGTCATTAGGAGTAAGAGGAGATTAATAGTGGTGTGTAATACCATTGTTTCCTTGATACTGCTTCCAAACTTATAAAACCCAATGATACCAAAATAAAACTACAAACATTTTGTAAACATATTCGGAAAAAGTAAATAAGAATGAGTTCATGCATTATTGATTTTATTTTTTTTAAACTTTCACGTAAAAAGATTTTGTTGAATTTATATTAAAGAATATGCGTTGAGAACTCCAAAAAATCAACTATATGTTAAATATGTCAATACACAAAAAAAAAAAGTGCAAAAATATGCTTTATTAAACTTTACATTTTTATACCATTGTAATGTAATAAATTTGTATCGTTGCATGTTTTTCAATTTAGTAAAAAAAAAGCATACAAATGCATGAACTTACAAGCCCTGTTCATAATCAATTGAAAATCTAATAAACAATTTAAAATTAAATGGGCATTTTCTAAAAAATGTGTATGATTGAAGAATAATACAATTTTCTAAATATAATAAATACACTTGGGTGTTATAATTTTTATTTTAATATATTAATTATTTTAAATCAATCTTATTTTTAATTATTTTAATGAGATAGTGCACTTCAAAACTACACAAATTACACAGAAAAAATAATGAATAATCTTAAAAGGTATTAACAAAGTTGAACACAACCATAAAAATATCATTCTTGTTTTATTGTGTAAAAATTTAGTGCTTCAAAAAAAGATTAATTTTGTTTGGTTAAAAATTGTTGCTGGTCAATTACTTCCATGTTAAAATATAAGTCACGTTTTAAGCTTGATATCATAAAATCATGTTTCAACATTTAATTAATTTAATATATAAACACAAACATGCAATGAGAACAAAGAAAAAAAAAGTTTTTAATTTTTTGAGTTAAAGCCCTAAAACAGTTGCTTATCAAAATAAACATGAATTCATTTATAATTTTTAAGAAAGTAAAAATTAGTCTCATTTTATTAGTTAAGATGCTGTTAAACGTGTATTAAGGGTAACTTTTTTGTATAATCTTATAGGGTTTTAAAAAATGTTATTGTAAATTTCTCTTATAAGTGTAGGTTTAAATGAAATTATATGCTTTATTCAATTTAAAGATTATTATTAGATACCCTACATCTTTCACAAGTATGATACTTTTTATTCAACTAATATGTGAAATTCATATTAAATCTATAGAAAATAATATTTTTTCTATCCACTGAGTCCTATAATTCTTGATGATTTCGAATAATGTTTTATAAACTGTCAGTATTTTTGTATAATAATTTTACAAATAATTATTTATTAGAAATAAAAATGTGTTAAGGTTTATAAAAAATGTCATTAATTCTTAAAATATACGTAGAAAGTATTCTGTTTATATATGAATTATAAATTTTAAACTTCTTTGATAATAATTTATTCTGATAATTTATGATTTATTTTTATAATATTTATTTATTTTAGAAAAAGTGAGTTTTCCAGAACAAGTACAAAATGATAACTCTGATTCAAATGATTTTGGAGTTTCGTTGACTGAAAGAATTAAAAATAGAAAAAGACCTGTTCAATCATCAGAAATGAACGACAAAAATGATAGTTTTGACAAAAGTAATTATGGTTTAATGTTTATTTTTGAGTTGTTATTATAAATTATATATTTAATCATATGTAGACAAATAGTTAAAATTTTATAATTTATGTATAATAGATGTAATAATTTTAAAAAACTAAAA